ATGGGCAGCCAAAAGACAGCACCTGAAACCGGCGCACGAATATGCGTGGTTAATGGTTGTACAAACTAAACTAACTTGGTGCATATTGTGGGTTTTGGCGTTTATTCGGGATGTTTGTTTCATTGGAATGACGATTTGGTACCTTACTTGCAATTCTCAAACCATTCGGTATTGCCTATGGGGAATAGAACTTGACCATGGTCTTTAGCATATAATAGTCCTCAGTTGTACATCCCCCGTTCCTTTGCTCGAGTTTTTTTCAGAAGACCAGAATGATTTAACCCCGTCAAGTGTACCGTTTTATGGTTATGAATAGTGTGCATGCGTTCATGTTGCACAAGTTCGGTTCACACCTGTATGACTTGGGGGTAGCCTGGTCGAATATCCTATAAAAGTCGACTGGAAGAAACGTGAGCCTAATATCAAGGTATTCGATTGGAGAAACGCGTAATATTGACCAGATCGAGAATAATTTGAATTTGTGCATCCAAGTGTTTAAAATGCGCACATCACGCAAAGGGACAATTGGAAACTCACACCAAAGTCGTTTAATGGGCAAGTTGGATAGATGCAAATAGTGGCAGTTGCTCAACCAATTTCGGTCGCATCCGAGTGTAATTAGGGTGGGTAAGTTGAAGGAATCAGTTATTTTCACTGCGACACCAGCAATCAATAATGTACGTGATAACAACCTTGAACTGGAACGTGGCAATCGACAAGACGGTTGAGGACAGGATCCCACCATCATCTACGTCAGCATGCTACTATCGGGCTCTCGGAAAGCAATTGACCGAAAACTCTGACGTTACCAATGCTTAAGTTCCTACAAAAATGTCTGAATTTTGAAAATCTAGCAGCTCAGTAAATAGGTCCTACTGTGGTAAATTCCCCAATAAATGATATCAATTAATTCAGATCAGAATGCGTAATTCTCTCAAAAGACCGAAAACCAATTCTGTCAAATCCGTCAACGTAAGAGTAAAGGGTATCAATCACCTTAAACAGGCGATGCCATTCTTGTCACTTAAACCGACGAAGGTAATGTTACAGTCGTTCGAGACAGATAACAATAGAACTCAAATGTTTCCGACTATTTGAGTGATGAGACACGAAAACATTGGAGAAAAAAATTGAAAGCGATTTTGAGCAAGGTGAAATCCCGTAAAAGTAAGTACCTTTGGGGTCAGAAAAATACCTGAGAGATACCTCTGTCGCCAAGTGGTGTAGTTTGTTGGAATTGCTGTAAATTGTCACCCAACAGGGCGATACAGTTGGTATATTCCAGGTCCAGAATTCTCTTCCCTGGGAGGAGTTTTATTCCACAGTTTGTTAGACGGGACAAAACATCCTGCAGAACACCCACCAGAATGCTGAGTAATCTTGATAAGCGACCAATTCTGACTGATTTTATCAGGGGTGATTAGCTCTAGCTTTTCAGCCAGCGCATTATGGGCGGCGGTTAAGCATGGTTGAGAAAACTAATCACCGTCTAACCGTCGCTGTGTCATGCGTTTAGAACGCCAACCGAAGCACATAGGCAGCTTGGCGCAAACTATTGCGTGACGGGATTCAAGGGACGGGCTCCAATACAATCGGCAGTCGTGTATGAGACCCCGCCATTTTCGGGTTATGGTGATGTTGGCGATCCGCTTTTGTGGCTGACTCGATGAGGGTGGATACCAAGTTGCGTACCGAATTATGTTCCTTCTGTCGAGGAATAGCCGGCGTTTGGAGCAGCCGTTTCCGAAAGAACCTCCCGCACGCGCCTCACTCGAAGTCAGCCAGTCTACTTTAGCATTCGTGTCTCTTGCTAAAATCACGATATCAGCCCTATAGCGCTTTACGCAAGAGGTTGTGTAGCTTTTCGTAGAAAATATCTTTGACTGAATTGAAATACAGAGAGAATTGTCTCTAGTGCCTGAACAATCAGTGGCAGTTAACAAAAGGTACTATTTTTTATTCAACTAGACGCACCAATTTCAACCATACTCGGTTTGCCGAATTTTATACGCTTCCTCTATCGAATACCTAGTGATTGATTTCTGTACTTTCATCTTCCCATCGGTCGTCCACAGGATATACTCAAAAGTCGACCACAAAATAGCACCAGATCATGAACCACAACCGAACGTTAGAACCAGGGGGGTTTGTTTGGTTTGGTCTATTGTGATACTGAAAACAACATGATTGATCTAATGCTAGTGCGGGGATTGCGCAAAAACAAATTAAGGAACAGCGTGCAGGTTTGAACGGAATGAATAATTTTCAATCTTACTTCGAGTTGACGCAAGAAAACAAAAACGAATTTGTGACCTGTTTTGAGAGAAAGCGTGACATTCTGGTGAAGATGCAGGAATAGTGTAGAATGCACACATAGGTTTGAAAAGTATTTTATTCACGTTGGTGCTCTGACCTCGATTAATCAAATGTTCACTTTTCAACGACTTTTGGCCCAGGAAAGTGGAGATAATAAAGTTCATTTAGTGTCAGTGATTTTACAACAGGTTGAAGAATAAGAATGGGTTCTTCGGTTCTATTTGCGTAAAATCTGATGTTA